GTTAGAATCTTCAGTTGATCCACCAAGTCTTATTTTGGAGCACCACCACCACCAGCCTTGAGTAGGCTTCAACATGCTCACACATAATAGCTATCATGCTATGCATCACTTCTTGCATCTCTTGCTGATTTTTGTTGAGGGGTCACAACTTATGAATAACATTATGGATAGTCCAAACTTCCACAACTCCATCGGCACCACTATTAACATCACCATCAACATTAAGATTCTAGCATTCATTTTGGCTGGCCACTGCCACCAACTTCTTTGATACCAATGTTACAATCCAGCACTAAATAACAAACACATAGGCTCCCTAGACTGTGCTATGCCTCCTCTTAAGGTTCCTCACCACCCAACCACAAAAGCTCCATTGTACCAGCCCTTAGGGTAGGTTAAATTCCTTATCTTAAGTCCATGCCTTAATATACCCTTGAGCTTACCTTTGACCCACGTTGACCACATGGTCAAAGTTGGCACCTAACAATCTTTACCTTAGATAGTTTTGTCTCACGATATGACTGTGCTAATGAGATCCATAAAACTGTTTAGAGCCATACGATGTATCTCAGTAATACATGTTCGGTCAAGATCAATGCATGGAAGGCATTGATCTTTATCTACTGGCATAGCTTTCATCTTTCTATCTGCAAGTATCTCCCAAGAAGAAAGAAGGCATATCACCACAAGTGCTAGAAAATATATAAACAGCACCCTTGACCACTTCTCTATGGAGCGTGTCACAGTCTCAACATAACTGATAATCTGTACCTCAATGCTTGCAGAGTCAACATAAAAACCATCCCTTGAGCTCTGAAGTGCCTAATGTGAGTGACTCTTGCTATACAGAATCAATTATACAAGTGGTTCGTAAGACTTTAATTGCATTCTGGGCAATTATTTGCCGTTTTAAACCCCCCCCCCCCCCCCCCCCCCCTATTTCACCTGAAAAAAAAATTAAACCCTACATTTTTAAAAACTTCCCCTTTGCAACCGGCACCATTCTGTCTCTTAAAAAGTCAATGAGTGATTAAGAAAAAGAGGGAAAAATTTAATTGACTCTGTAAGCAAGAAATTGCATTAATGAAAGTACATTATATCCACACACCTGTCACGAGATCACACACGGTAAAAATTTACTACGAAGTCCACCGTCGTCATAACTGTGAACTTCATAAACGTGTTTGGTCGGATTACTGCGTTCTCATAGCTTGTGAAAACAAACAAAACCGCTGCTTCAATGCTACATCGTGGCGACTGTAAAACGCCAGCTTCTCATACAAACCCTAGAATTTAAAACATAAAAAAATTAGTGTAGATACACATAACGTTGTATGGAAATCCAGAATTAAAAACATTAAACAGGATTCGGCTCGATTCGCTCGTTGGACGCCCCACCAAACTCAACATTCTAAAGCACCAGATGCACAGAAGATTCCGTAATCAGTCCAAGCATCCTCGAATCCCAAACACTACTTTTGCAATAGTACATCCACAAACGCTATCGGATGAAAGGATTAAAGTAAAAAAGCTAAGAACAAACACAGTGTGACATAGATTATTACAAGCGGTAACCACCACCTTGTTCAGCTAACGGTTTCCTAAGGAGCAGCACTGCACCTCTTGATTTGAACACATTTTAATACCAGAGATGAAGATGCTGAATCCTTGAATGGTTGTGATTGCATAGCTTCACCCTATAGTTGATAATCACCTATCTGAAGATAAGGTTAAAAACTGCAATACCTGAGTCATATGACTCGCATAATTTGTAATTAGTTGTAATTGTGTCCCATTTAAACCGCTGAGGTACGGGAGAAAATCCTTCCCAATTACTACATAAATGTCAACCAGAGAGAACAGAACAGCCTGCAGCACATAGTACTGATGTCGTGGGAATGTTAAGGCCCTTAAAATGGAATACCTGTCTCACGTCTTCTTGCTGGTGCTTGAATGCCTCTACAAGCACTGGCAGAAAGGTTGGAAGCCTTTCAACTAGCATTTCCTTAGGAAGTCGTTTCACAATCTGCCCACACATGCAAGTGTAAGCGTCACAAGCTACAATCTTCAATATATTCACCTGTTTAAGAATATCTGGGATAATTGACAAGGCCAATTCCCTAATAAACTTATCAGAATCCTTGGCTGCTTCCAATACAGTTGAAATGAGCTTGTCAAAATACTGCAGATATTAAATCCTTTACTTTAAAATGATGCTCTTTATGTTAATGTGCAAACCTGTGACCAAACTTTTGTGTCGCTAGATTGGTGAAGCCGGGCTGCTGCGAGCAATGCCTCGTGCTTCACTGATAGCGTCTTTTCAGGTCCCCAAAGAAAGACCTACATTAGAACACGTTATGATATATCACTAAAACACCATTATCTACCCGCTCAGTTAGCATGCGAGTAACGTTATTCTCAGCACTTCCAGTGTCTGGATTCAAATGTGCACTGTCAGCCCCGTCCGAGACGTCCACGTTCATTGAGTAACTGTCTAGCCATCTTCTAGTTTTGTCGCAGTTTATATCCCACCCAGTATTGGAGTCCCTGATTTTGGGTCCAATAATCGTCGGGTCGCCAGAATTTTGTGGAGTTCTACAGTTGAACCGTAACTCCTTCACCATTCCTTCGTTCACACCCGATCTATCCATCTGAGTTGGATTTGGAGGCTTATTGTCACAATTTTTTACTGCCGGAAAAACGTGCATGTAAGGCTTCCTCATTGCTGACATATCAGTCTCCTCCATGGTAACCAGAGGAGCCCTGTGACTCCTAAACCGCATATGGTCCACAAGGTCGACCTCAATCTGTGGAACATATTGCTTTAAGGACCTCCTCAAGGCGGTTTGCTCGTCAACTGGCAAGGCCAAGATAAACTCGAGTACGATTATAGTATCCAGGTGAGAGTAGACAGCTATGATTCCCATCAGAGAAGTCTCCTTAACTTTCGATTGCCTAGACTTGGAAAGTGTCACCAGCTTAGACAACCAAAGCCTTAGAAGTGGTGATATAACTTCGTAGTTGAACTCCAGCTTCACAAAAGCACCAATTGCATACTCTATAACTGCCACCTTTCCTTTTGGCGAACGTTGCTCGTCAAGGGAGCGGAGAATTGCTGGAAAAAGTATTTTAATGTCGTATGTATTTCCAATAGCTTGTAAAGCTGCTGCTGCGAGCTCGCAAGTTTCATCTCTTGAGTCCACCAGTCGAGGAAATAGAAGCGGAAGCATTAAATCTAGCTGAACTCCAAATCCCTTCTTACATGCCTTTACCAGATCAACCACTATAGAAAGTGCCGCCTGAGAAACTTTGAAGTGTGCATCCGTCAAATGGTCCCGGAGCAATCTTATGATGCTATCAAAACACTGGTGGATCTCTGACAGGCCCTTTGAACCTTGGTGTAGAAATTTCTTGATGGAAGAAAATGCTCCCACTCTGACAGACCAATCAGCAGTTTTACTAAGACTTTCTGCAAGAGTCTCGTCTAACGATATCATCCCAGAAATGCAGCAGGGTTCTCCTGGATCTTGTGTAGCATTACAACAACTTTGGCCCTGGCGTGTTTGTGCTTGAGTTTCGTCAGGATTTTTGTCAGCTACTCGAGGTTCACTGATGATCACGGAGACTCCATCATGATCACTACCATCGAGGTGAACATCTAATTGAAATGAAGGTGATGCAAGCTGGGGAGCAGACGGTGCAGCTATTGTTGACCGCACGTTACTTGAAGGGCCATGCTTTAACAAGTAGCTTCCTGCCAGAAACCTTGGTAAAGTTTTAGCTATAATTCTCATCAAACAAACCTGCTGGGGACGCGTTTTCATTCAGCTGTTTTTTCATCCCAGCAACAGGAGATGGCACTTTTGGTCCACATGTGCATACCTTTGAATCAATCTTTCCAAGCATAAAGATCAAGCTGTTAGTTCCAATCTTAGCTCGTGAACAAGAACCTAAATAGGTACCTGACCAGGCCACCGTAAGGAAAATGTTCGAATCTCATCTTTAAAATGGTCTCCCTTTTTCTGATATAGCTTCTGGAAGATGCATACGAATAGAACTCTTACCGTAAATGAATTGATTTGTACCTCCAAAATTTTCATAGTGGCTTCCTTAACATGAGAGTTTGGATCTTTAGCCAAGTCCAAAACCTGTGCAAACGAAACGCAAGTCAAGTCCAGAAAAGAAAATGAAGATTCTTCGATTTTACCACAGGAAGTAAAAGCTGGACGACAGGGAGTTCGTCTAGAGAAAAAAGTCTAATTGCGGAGTCTAGCACTCGCACAAACTCCTCACGAACTTTACAGTTGTAATGTTGAGACGCATTAGTGCTGATCCTTTCAATTACCATCGTCGGTGAGAATATCTGAAAGGCGTCAACAACTAGAAGACCATGCATAGTTGTTCTTATTTGCCAGGCAAGCAAAATTTTCAAGATTGTCAACTACCTGCATGAGAGCTAGCAGGAGTCCACGCCCTGCGTCACGGACAGACTGCTTGTCGTCTCCAAGTCTATCTATAATTGCAGGCAGCAGCGCCATGAAATCTAGCTGAAGTCTATCACCAGCAAGAGACGCTGCTGATGCAAGAACGTGAAGGGCTCCCTGACATACTTCATGATCTCGGTCTTTAAGGAGATCAACGGTGGCATTGAGTAGGTTTCCCACATCCGTCGCATTCAAACTTTTCTGGTTCCTGTCAAGAACTGCTTGCAGCTTCTGTATGGCAGCAACTCTCTCTCGGTTATCCTGCACCTGAAGCTGGGAAATCGCGGCATCCATTTCTCGAGCTGGAATCATTCCCTACTTAATCAATCCGTCCTGAGATGGAAGAAATCAAGAAAGTACCTCCGGTTGAGCGCCTTTTCGTATCAAGCGCGGCCTCAAACCCTATTGCCCCAAGGGAGTGACCATTTCAATCTCGTAATAAAATGGCGGGAAGGCTAGCGAATATACCACAAATATTGTACCTTGCACTAAGAATTGTAAAGGCGTTATCGTAAGTCAAGAAGTTTCTGCTGTCTGAAGTGATGTCGCTCTGGAGCTGACTGACGTCTTTTTAGAAGTCGACCGGGAGGCAGGATGCAGAAAAGAATCTTGCTTGCGTCTGATCTCTTGAACAATGTGATTGTCCATTGGCCTCAACGCACGTTGAGCTGCTAAAATTGTAAAGTACGGAAACAGGGATATAGGCGGTATAAGAATAGTAGCCAACCAATAAACAGGGCTAGGAAGCATAACTTCCACAAAAACCTTGTAACCTGTTGTAGAAATAGATGTGCAGAGAAATCCATAGACAACTAAAAACAAATACCAAAGGAAAATGCTTCCCCATATACCCAAGTGCTGAATCCAGCTAAAGTGATTCGTTGTCAACACCATCTGAAGGCTAACTATCCAGATAATGCATGTGTACATACTTGTACCGAAGGCATCCAGGCTTGGTGTTTTCCCGTCCTTTCTGAAGGAATGAAGCTTATAAATGTTCCAGGTGAAGTAGTAAGTGATAAGGGAGCTATATATGCTGTTGGTAAACCAGGCAAAAACTTGAGACCAGTTGAATAGAATGTTCTTAGGTCCTTGCTGATAAAGAGCAGGAAACTGTAGGCACCCTCTTGCAGATACGTCTTGTTCAAAAATGCCAAGCACCAATGCAGGAATGGAGGTAAATATTACGTTGAACAAGGACATAGTCCAGTCATTGTATACCGTTTGTCCAGAATAACATGTATACGCTTCGTAGTAGAAAAGAGTGAGACCAAATGTCATGTTTTTGTAAAAGAAGTAGCAGATCTGCAGGTACCAGTATTCATTAGCAATAAAGTATCCATCCTAAAGACTAACCATTGAAGAAATTCTTTTGTAACACCAATGTCCATGAACAATTAGCAAACGCTCCAGAAAGCTAAATTGAGCAATTGCGAAGTCACTAGCCATAACTGCCTATATAAGGTCTCAGTAAACAACAAGTATGTTCAGAGGAAAATATGGACCTGCATGCCTTCTACGCCACTTATACCAACACCAATATGTGCCTCCTGAATCATGCCCACGTCGTTTGCTCCATCTCCAATGGCCAGGGTAATTTTACCTGTCCCTTGTTTAACAAGCCTTGCCACCTGCTTGTGGATGTTAGTTTTCAAACATCTATAATTCAGACCAAACTCACCAAAGCTTTTTGAAGCGGTGAGACTCTACAACAAATTACAGAAGCACATTTTATAGCTAGCTTAAGCAGGCTCAATTTCAAATCCTCACTTAGCGCATATGTGAGAGATTTTCCATCAATAATCAATGCAAATACTGTATTTAAACTTTTTTCAGAGTCTACATCTTGTAAACCTGACATAATAAGTTCCTGAACTTTATCCTGTAGAAGTCCTGTGTTATCAAATGCGTGCTAAATAAGTAGATAAATCAGGATTAACCTTAGCAACTTCTTCCATCTCTCTAGGAGCATCTACTGAGGAGATATTTAAGAGCTCCGTGGCTATAATAATCTGCTTCATTCCCTGTCTAATCAAATTGCAAGCATAGCTGCACATACGTTAAAAAGATAGTATAATGCACACCACAAAAACAGGATAAGAGGCAGACCCAATGTTGATAGCAGTCTCGAGCTTATCACCTGTCAAAACCCAGATTTTAAGACCAGCTTGTGCGAGGATCTCAATACATTCTGGAACCTGCGAAGTCTACTACCATATTGAAAGGCAAACTTTATTACAAAAAGCTTACTCCTTTTTGTAGTTTGTCTTCTACAGCAGTGGCACCCAGAAGAACAAGATCTTTCTCCAGTTCATCCGATGCATTGTTTAGTAACAACTCACGCTCAATGCCAACAGTAATTTTGGCATTTTGAAACGTTTCATTCCACCTGATGTATTCGGTTTCCTCGATCTTTCGATATGCCAGCACTAGTGTTCTTAGACCAGCCTCTGCATACTTACCAAGGTGCACTCGAGTAGCTTCTTCGTATTGGCGACCGTTTGCACCAAGTCGCTCAAAGATAACGCTGAGGACATAATGTGAGTAAAAACAATTAGCAGTTCAATTCAATATAAACCTGTCAGCACCCTTGCAGAACAAAATAATTTGTCCATCTTCTCCCTTAGCTACTACAGACATCCTTTTTCTTGTACTGTTGAACTCAAGAAGATTCAGTATTTGATATTCTCTGTACAGAAGTTTTAGTACACTAACTTTGAAATTTTATAGGGCAAACCTTTCCAGCTTTGTGTCAAGATCTATATCCGGTTCCCATACCATGACACTACTTTGGTTTCTTTTAAAAAAAATAAAACCAAATTCTCTGGCAGCTATAACGAAGGCATTTTCGTCTGGGGATTCTGCTTCATAGTGGATTTCGTTGTCGTCATCCTCTTCGGCAATAGCAGAGTGACAAACTGCTAACAGTTGAAAAAAAAGCCGTATCGAATGAGGATTGGGCTCATATATCCAGTTGCCTTCCATTAAGCGTTCGTCCTTGAAGTTAAATCCTTTAATAGTGGGAGCATTCGTCTGGACTTTTTCTGAAGACAAGCAGAACTTGTCGTTATTATCATCTTCGGAACAAGACTCTTGAATGTCTTCAGATTCCCATTGTTCTTTGCTAAGTCTTCTTGCAATACTTTTCTCTACCTCCGTGACACCTCGACCATAGGGCGTGCCTGAAATTGAGCACTTGAGAAAATTCATAGAGTTGCATGTCAAAGTTCCAGTTTTGTCAGATAATATGGTGTGAACTTGCCCAAGTTCCTCGTTCAAGTTGGAAGTTCGTGCTTGAGCTGTCTTGTTGGACTCTTCGTGAAACATTTGCCAGTCCCAGTTGATAAAACTGGCTTGGACTGTCTTAACAATCTCGATTGAGACATACAAAGAGATTGGTATAAGATACCCATATAAAATAAGTGCTGTAACTAGATGTAGAAATGATGCAGCAGTTGCTCGTCGAGGATCATAAAACACCTGCGCCTTGTCAGGAGACATATACCACCATGTAGGCATTTGTTCTTTTGTTACTATGCCGTAGAAAAGAGAACCAACAGTAGCAATTAATAACAAGACGCTGAAAAGGATGTAGATGATGTAGTCCATTTTTTTCTCAATGCGGCTTCGTTTTGAAGGAGGGTCTGTAGCGTTTTGCATGACCTTCGTGTCATGACCGCTAAATATTACAACCCCATATATAAAGTCTGTGTTTCGAAGTCTTGATCCCCGAAGTAACAGTTGCTGGGGCCCAAGAGAACTAAGGTGGTCGTCAAAGTCAAGTGTTCCAATAAATGTGTACAAGCTGTTATTTGGATCTTCACATCTCACAATTCCATCAAATTTCTCAATGTCTTCCTCGTGAACTATTTTAACCGTGATTTCTAGTGACTGCTTCACCTTCAAATTTGTTTCACCATCAAGGGTCATGGTTTCGACATAGCAGATTCCATCTGTGTAACTTGTGGATAGCATGAAAAGGTCAGCTGGGAAAAAGTGATCTTTTCGAACCATCACAATATCCCCAACAGTAACATCTTGCCACTCTCTTAATTCAAATTCTCCAGTTCCACAGTTAACCAAAACCAACCGAGAATTTACCTCTTTGTCCTGCAGAACGAAGAGCTAATAGAGCAAAGAAGAGACAAATCTGTATTGTACCTGCTTATGGCGCCTCCAATCTTCCAGTCCCTCTTTAAGCATGCTTATACCCATGACAAAGATCAAAGGTGCGATCAAGCTGCCTGGAGAGAACGGAGTTAAGGGCGTGAGTGACAAAACTGCGGCAAATAAAAAGTATAGGCTGGCCACCCTTCTGAATTGCTCAAATAACGCCTTTGGGAAGAATGTGATCACGTCGTACTTAGTAGTAGAGACATAATTGGAGAGGTATTTCAGAGGACCAGCCTTGTGTTTTCCTGGCTGGTTGCAGTATACTACCCTTGAGAAACCTGTCGGTGGAAAATCCTTCACTGCAGAAGGTTTGCCGCAGCAAAATGAATATAATCTGCTCCACCTTACACGTTTTCTGCCACCAGTCATTGCAGAACATGATACCACTCCCACAGGCGGCTTTTTAAAAGACTGTTGGTTGAAACAAGCAAACCTGCGCTTTTTCACAGTTAATGACGCGTAAACACACGGCCTAGCTAAGGGTTATTTTTAAAGACAAACCGTACTGGTTTTGCCTATGGAAGAGCCGGACGTCGGGATGAGGCACGTCATCCGCAGAAGCACCGGGATGGTAGTTAGCTAACAGTGGCCCATAGGGTTGTCTCAAGACGCCATGGGAGCCGACAGTGTGTTGAAGATGGCCAAAGGCGTAGCGACCTGGGAGTTTCCCGCCCTACAACGCGTAATGAGGCTGTCAGCTAAGTCCTGCCGTCGAACTCAACCGAAACATAGTCCTCGGACTGCACCAGTTACCGCGCCTCAGGTTCCAAAATCTTCACGAAAAGTAGCTGCTGAATTAAGCGTGTTGATGCTGAAGTTAGAGACAGATTTCATGGCAATTACTGGGGAGGAGGGCCGAGAAAAATGGAGATGTTTCATGAGAGAAGGAACCCTTATTGAGGCCTGGCTAGATAGAATGCTACAAGAATCTGAACACAAGTAAGTACTAAAAGGATTAAACATAAACTATGGACCGTCGAATGGTACTTTATTTCTTGAGTTATAACAGGGCTGCGCATGGCGATACCAATAGTAGTTTACAGGAATACGGTCTATCGAGGGTACAACTCGGTATCTTAGGTCTCTCTGAAAGTCAGATTGATAGAGCATATCGCATGCTATATGTCTACTCTGTTGGTTGCAACGAGATGATCAAAGAGCTTTGCCTGCACAGCCTCGAAAAGGCTGTGCTTGTTGGCTCCTTCTGGCGTGCCTTCATACATCTTTGTGAGGGACATTCTAAGGTAAATAGCAGTCTTTAAATTCTTGAATTCCCGCCTGTTTCACTAGGTCGAACTTCAAGCGGAGATTGCTGAGCTAGCAGAGGACAAGAAAAATGCTATAGACGAGTTATGCATGATGCGAGGTTGTTTGAACGAAGCATTGGATGGCGTAGCTCTAAATAGGCTTTTAGCAAATGAGGATTGGGAAGTCACTGATAATATAGAAGCAACCACTCTCCCAGGAAACGGAGATATTAGACAGGTATATTTGGCATTTAGATGAATGCTCTTTAGTTTGCTATCACCTGCCTGCTATCAGCTGGATGAAAAAACAGGAGAACATGACCTGGATATTTTGACAAAAAGATGTGAGCATTTGAATAAAGAAAGAGAAGAGCTTCAAATTCAGGTGAGACCGCAAATAGGCTCAACTGATTCATTAACTGCGGAAGTTTATTCAGCTAGACGAAACTTCAAGACAATTGCGAATGGAGCATTCAGCATTAAATCTCACCACTGCTAAAGAACGAGAGAAAACGGGAAAGGTGGTTCAATTAGAAGAGTAAGTATATGTAAGAAATATTATTTCTTACGAACTTCTACTTTTTTCAGAAAACTTTTTCAGGCGAAAGAAGCTCTAGAGAGGGAAAGAAGTGAAGCTCATCATTTGCGTGAGTTATGTAAGAAACTGGAGCATGATGTAGAAGAAACTGAACAAAAGACAGCGGAGATTACTTGGAAGTTTGTGCAGTATGATCGTGATTTTCCTGTTCTACAGAAAGAGGTACTGCTGTAGAGGTCTTACTTCTTTATTTAATGTTTTTCTTTTTTGTTTCAAGCATTAACAGGTGACAGAAAAAAGACACCTTGCTCAAATGCTCGAAAATGTGAATCAGCATGTTGAACAGGAATGCACGATATTGAAACATAGAGTTGAGCACCAAGATGCAGCGTTGGTGAGGCTGAGAAGGCAACTTGATACTTATGAGAAGGCAGTGAAATTTCTAAAAGACGAGGCTAAAGAACATACTCGACTTTTTGAAGATAAAACACGAGAGGCCATGTTAAATGGAGAAGAAGTTGAAGCATGGATTTTTGGGCATGAAAAGTTGCTTGACCAACAGCGCTTGTTGCTGTCTCACACCGAGAGCTTGAAAAGGCAACTAAAAATAGAGCGAACGGAAAGGATAAATGAAAAACAGAGTCTAGAGGCAAAAGTGCGGATGCAACAGGAGAGTTTGAGGGCTTTGACAGTGGGAATAGCATCTCTCACTCCTCATAGAGTTTTTGGAATTCCTAAAGTGTCGATATTATCAGAGGTAAGCATAGAAACTGAACAGTCCCGAGCTGAAAGAAGGCTTTCAAGGAGGCTCTCGAGAAAAATGTCTCGGAGGGGAACAGAACTGGCAAAGAGAGCATCTGAGTTCTTAAAAATCCAACAGCCAGGAGAAGGCAGAATAAGCAAGGAAAGCGAGCTTAATGAAATTTCGGAGTCAGATTTGAATTCTGACGAAGAGTGGGATGACCTGTGCTCTGAATTATCACAACAACGAGAAGAGATGGAAAAGATGGAAGGTAATCTTAAGGAAGAGAGAGATAGACGGTGCTGGATGGAAAGGCATGTAGAAGCTTCAGTGAAAGAAGCTGAAAGGCTAAGGTCTGAAGTTAAGCAAACAAATACTAGAATTGTCAATCTTGCCATAGAAAAGAAAAACAAGGAAAAAAACCTTCAGATTGCTGAAGAGCAGATTCGTAAGCTTGACAGGCAGCTTGAGAGCATGGAATTGACTCTCGAGAAGAAGAATGCAGAGATTGCTATTCTTAACAATATTATTATTAGGAATCTAGAAAGGCAAGCTCACTGTGCTTCAACATGTAAACAACTTCTAGCAACAGGCGCCAAGTTGCTAGAGGACGGTATGGTCCAGGAAATGAACGTAGTAGGTAGCAAAGTATCTATTTTAATGGAAACTGTAAGGCTGCTCAGGAACAAGGTGACAAAGGCAGGTATGGAAATAAGAAGTTGGAAGCTGAAAATGAAAGCGGCAGATGGTCAGAATGCAGCTATGTTAGCCGAGATGAAAACCCTGAAGAGCGAACTTGAGTCAAGTAGCACGGATAAGATAAGCCTTGATTTCAAGCTTCAAAAGGAGGAGCAGTGTAGAGCAAAAGCGGAAGAAGAGCTAAACAGGGTACTTAAGGCGTCGGCTGATTTGAAACTCGACCAAGTGGTTCTTGAAGTGCACCTCGAGTCTTCCTTAAACAAAATCATGCAGTTAGAGATGAAAAATTACAAAAGTCAGGCGAAGCTGGAGGAATGTGATCGAAATCTAAACGTACTGCAAAATCAGAAAGAGAAAGAAGATGCAATTCGTGGGATTTTGCAGTCAGAGGTCGATGCCTTGCGGCTGGAGGTGGAAGGACTAAGGCGTCAGCTTTTGGTTACTAAGTTGAACCTTCCGAAATAGTAGTAAAGTGGTAAAACTCTCAACTTTAGGATCCCATTATTGCATTGACCATCAAGAAATTTCTTGTCTCCTGTCTGCTCGCTTAAGTTTATAGAAGCCACCTTCCTTTTCTCAAGAATATACCTTTGTCTGTTATTAGGTCAGACCATGGTTGGAAGTAGCGCATCCACGAGTGTTATAAACGAAGCAGCCTGGATGCACCATGGCAGTTCATCGCCAGCATGTAAATCTGGTATTGCTGAGACAGCAAATACCGGCGATCTTATTGGGTCGCTGGAGAATATGCGCAAAGAGAATGAGGATCTTTGTGCTACTCTAGATACGTACAAGAAAATTCTTAACGATTCGGGTAGGAAGGGCATCACCAATTTTTCCGATTGCCCTTCTAATGTAAGTTTCTTACTTTTGCCCCAGTTTTCTATTTTAATCTCATGTGTTTCAGCTCTATGAACAATTAAGAGACAGAGTGGAGTCAGTTTCCTTCCTTCAAAAGTTGGAAGAGATAAAATCAACTGAAGATGCCGTTACCTCAATTGATCTACCACTTGCTGGTAATTCTTTCCTCGTTTAGATGCTACAACTGGTTGTAAGAATGCAGAGGATGATCTCGTAACAGCTGGCATTGATGATCCAAGATGGTGGGTGTGGGTGTCGACTGACCTTTTTGGAGGTGCCAATGAAGATGCTGTGGAGGGAGAATATACACTAGTGAATGAAAACGATATTATTGAAGGAATTGCAGCATTTCTGGCCAGATACATAACAAGCATTCCAAAGTCAAAGGTATGCTCTGTGTTCAAGATTTAACTAAACTGTGGTTTTCTTCTTACAGACTATGACGCCAAATCAACTCCAAGATGGTAAACTTGATACATTAAGGCTGATTCATTATTTCTGATTGTTACGTTGGAGTGTAGCAATTGCATTAACATTTAAGCATATGGAGAATAAGGGACAATTATGGAGGCTGTGGCAGATGGGAATGTTTCTATATAGCACAATATCATGGGGAACAACGGCTTTCAGGTCTTTTGTCCAATTTATTAAGTATTTTGTTTGACTTTTCCTTTTGTAGGTTCACCACCCATCCTATGATTCTTCGTGCCTTTCTCATCACAGTTTCAACATCAATGAAGTTCTTTCTAAAAATAGTTTCATAGTAGATAAAATTTAAGTTATCTCAGTTTAGAAACTCGAAAATGTAGAATTTTAAACAAAAACAAAAATCAAAAGGCTAGGCTATATAGACATGTATGTATATATATATATACATATATATACATACACACACACACACACACACACACACACACACACACATATATATATATACATATATATGGGCAAGGCATCATGAGCCTTCGATGTCAAATGACCAACGAATATTGGCTTGGTGCTAAGGATGAAATTGTAATCCATGATGGGGTTACTTTATAAAATGGTTTATCATTTGATGATATCAAACTTTGTCTATAGGTGGTGGAGTTGTAGTATAAAAATCCTTAAACCCTAAAGTGGAGCCAAAAGTGTGCTATATACTTAAACTCCATCTCAGACTCCTTCTTGGACTCCATCTCGGACTCCTTCTTGGACTCTATCTTGGATTCCTTCTCAATCTCCTTTTCAGACTCCATCTCGGACTCTATCTTGAACTCCACCTTGGACTCCATCTCGGACT